AGAACAACTGAAGGAAAGTCAGAGGCACAACGAGACGATGGAAGCCATCGCGTTAGGCAAAGGACTGTACTTGAAACCCTACAGAAAAGGACTAGGCCTTCATCTGAAGCCAAAAAACTTGAAGTGAAACTACCACGCCGGGCGCTGACCGATGCGGATCTGCTAAAGTACGCCAAGATCATGAAGATTCCACATTTTCGCGGAGTCTTCATGCGGAACGCTATGCCGAAGGGTGGACCGTACAAGTACGAGTCGGCAATCGTCAATCTCGACGACAAAGATGGTCCAGGAACACATTGGGTCCCTTACAAGAAGCTGAACGATCGAGTCGTTTATTTCGACAGTTTCGGCAATCTTCGACCGCCGCTAGATCTTATCGGATATCTCGGTGTTGGTAGTGTAAAGTACAATTACGAGCGATATCAGCAGTACGATACTTTTGCATGTGGACACTTGTGTCTAAAGTTCCTATGCGGACAATTAAATCGTAAAAACAAGTATCGTCTATATAAGCTTGCTATGTAATTTCGCAAGGTCAGTCGAACGTTCGCAATCATGGAAGATTCATTCACGTTGACTTTATCAGGCACCTCCTCCATACTGGAAGCCGGATACTTTCCTCTTGCAATCATGGAGGATTCATTCACGTTGACTTTATCAGGCACTTCCTCCTTACTGGAAGCTGAACACTTCCCTCCTATCGAGGTTTCCCCCTACAAAAATTACGCTCTGGGACTCATCGAATTGCTGACCTTCAATTCGATTCCCAACGTGGACACTGATCACACCAAGCTCTACGTGGGGAATGAAGTTATCACTATACCTACTGATAGCTACGAGATCGAATTTATCGAAAACTACGTGCATAGCGCGTTGACGGACAAGAGCATCGTCATTCAGATTAAACCTAACAATAATACGTTGTGCAGCGAAATTAAGTGCAACCGTAATGTCGACTTTCGACCTAACGATTCCATAGGTCGCTTGTTGGGCTTCACTCAACGCGTTCTGAAGGCTAATAAATTACACACGTCCGACGTACCGGTCACCATTCTCAAGGTGAACGCCCTACGAGTCGAATACAACGTTACGACTGGCGCTTACATCAACGAACGTAAAGTGCACACCATACACGAATTCTTTCCGATCGTGCCACCCGGATACAAGATCATATCTGCATTCTTTTCGTCTGCCGCGTATCATGGAGGAAGAAACGCTGAACATTCAGACACCGATCGTCTTCGACGAATCTATAGCACACTATGAAACGCATGCGCATCAACCTTACGCCTCGTCAACGTTCAACAACAGCGACGAGGTTCGAATCTCCGTTCAACATCAAGACCTATGCTTACTACCGAGCAAAAGTTCGCTGCACGTGTATGGAAAGCTGGTCAAGGAAGATGGGTCCACAGCGACCTCGAGCACGACTCTGGTCAACAATGCCATATGCCATCTCTTCGAGGAGATTCGCTACGGAAATGAATGCTATAGAGATCGATCGGAACAAGAACGTCGGTCTCATGAGTCTCATGAAGGGATATGCTTCCCTGAGTCCCGGTCAACGATCCCTGATGGAGATCGCCGGTTGGCTCGACGTCAAAGAACAAGAGAAGTTTACCAATGCGGACGGTTACTTCGACGTATCCATTCCAAAAATTGCACGAAAACTCGCTTACTCGATGTACGAATCACCATGCTCCACATTTTAATTGCTCAACTGAAAATGTTAAATTTTTAAGGAACTGGTTGTCGGAATCTATATTTTTTTTATTATGAATAAAGACATAAAATATAATAAGACGTATATTTATTTAACACATATACATAGTAGTTGAAGGACGAGTACAAAGTTTATAGACATTGGAATTCGATCTGGTTGTATCGACCGCCGAGATAATGCATCAGGACTCGATTCTCCTCACAGGCTTGCTCTCTCTTTCTCTCTCTCTCTCTCAAAGTTCCGGAAACTTCCTGCAGAACTGCATCAGCGTTGCGGAATTCCGCGAGATAACGTTCGAGGTCAAACAGGCTGAGAGCTGCCGTCCGATACCTTCACGGGACCCGTCGAAGCTTCTCGGTGGCTTTCTGGGGTGGGGGGCAAGGGGCTGCCTGAAAACGTCGCGCCGGAGGACCGCCGGCTCTGGGAGCGATCCTTCCCGACTCAGTACGGACACGAACCATCGAAGCTTCCAGAATGTTTTAGAAGGATATACAATGTTCTAGAAGGTTCTCGATCGTGCGTGATTCCTAGAATCGAGCGCAAAATTCCGAGAATGTGAAGCAAAATTCCCGGAATCGAACAAAACTTCTTGGAATCGAGGAGTCCTGATGACGTCACTTCCAGAAATCGTAGAGCTCACGACGGCAACTTAGCACGGACACCCACCTTCGAAGGTTTTAGAGTGTCGGTATTATGTCGGTGCAGAAATCTGTATCCAGAACCGGCCCTGTACTGACTACTTACTGTACTTGAATTAACCTATTAATGCTTAGTGACTATCTAATCACACCTATGATATACTAATTTTAATATGGTCTCATAATTATTTTTCTATTAATTACTACATAATTACTATGCACCGTCATTTACTCTGGTGTATCTGATGGTGGCATCGTTGGTCCAGCGTTGACTGTATCGGTACTTCGTTGGTACGTGACTTGTATTAGGATAACCAAATACGTAATGATGCTGTTGACGATCTACGAAGTAAATACAATTAAAAATATGTGATGATCGTTAATTGGCACGTTTCGTCCATACCATAGTAAATAATCTTCGACCTAGATTAAACAATCCGCAGACCTTGAACAACAATCTGTTGTCTATGAGTTGCAGAGTGAACTGTCGTATCTGTAAATTGTATACAGGTTATGTTTTTGCTTTTAAAAATTTTCATGACGTCATAATAAATATAAAAAGAAAATATTGAAATGGAATTATTAAAAGGTCTCTTAACTTTGAATGAAATTTCTCGTTGCTGATTGACAAGTACAATTTGTTAATGATACTTCCGGTTCGATGAGCCTGAAATTATTCGTCGCGATGACCTATCATTGTAATCATAATGTAAAATTAATGAAATCTCATGAAAAACATACCTCCTCTGTTGTTCGAGTACAGGATAAATTAACAATGACGATGTTCGGCAAGCACAAAAACAGTTTCGTTATACTTGTGATATATATTTCACTAATTTTATTTATCTCCAGGTTGTAGATTTCATTAAGAAAGAGCGTTGCCATTATAATTGAAGTCGTCGTCATCACGAGATTTTGCAGTGCGTACAAATCATTAAGGTAGAGCGATGATCTCACAAGTTCCAGATGCATTCGTCTTTAGGTTAGTTAAAAATAAATGTAAATACGAAAGTAATCGTTATAAAAATTAATTTGACTATCGTGATTACATCAAGATATTTTATTTCCAAGGTTACCGAATGGTTTTAAACACTTTTAGATGATGACGTTCCGTGCTAACGTCCAGCTCGACTCTGACTTCTTGATTTTCCCTGAGTGGCAACATGTCCGTAAGTTTTCTATTCAGTTCGCCAAACAACGAAGTCATATACCTGATGACGAAGTCAAAATCATTCACAGGATAATCGTTCACATGAAACATCATTGGTAAGTATTGACGTACCTGACACTGTAACTGAACTCTGCATTGACAAGTAAAGTTACGAGAACTGTATAGAAATGGCAATACATAATAGGCGCACAAAGGTTCAATGGCAAATAATATAATTTCTGATAGGTACGATAACTTGGCAGCATCACATAAACAAATATGAATATATTAAAAATAAATTGAAATCTCATCAAGGATTTGTCAGTTGCTCTGCAACCAATTGAATTCATCGTGATCTTGATTTCGTCCGCTTGCTTGTACCAGAAGTAATACATCTAGCAAAATGAAAAAAAAAAATGATATCAAACCAAATTTCGGAAATGCTATTTTTTCATCTATTTTCCAACCTTCGTACGATACCACGTATTAACGAGAACGAAGAGACAACACGCCATTTGAATGCATGATATCACTACGTAGATACCCTGTCCCAGTGTTATATTCGCCATGTTAACAGTCATGAAAAATATTTGTAAATATTTAACACAGCCATACAAATACAACGAGATAACACATGATGCATAGAAGATGCGTAAGAGTAATTGTGGACGATTAAGAGGATACTCGAACAATCCTAAACCTGTTATCCAACGTGCCATTGCATTTATTTGGACCAACTGTTTCGTCGTCATTTTTAAATCGCCACTGCCACCGAAATTGTTGTACAACGCACTCTGAATGGTTTTGTCAAGCTTAGATAACTTGATACAGCAATTAAAGGACGTCACGTATGAACAACTTCGTGACGGACCAACCGAACTCGTTGAATGACGCGACGCGTTTGACTCGAAGCATGATTAAGTACGTCCCAGGTATCCCTTATGCTATACTAATCAATAAGGTTAAGGTTTTAAAAGAAAATCATCTGGAACAGAAAGAAGCATTTTTCAAATATTATTTATTGTTTTGCACAATGGGACATATCTGTTGGATTAATTAATTAAGCAGCAAGGATTATTAATATATTTAAAAAATTAATTATTGCACTGTTCCTTTATTCACGCATACATGCATCGGAGTCATAAGAACTCGAAGCACTAAATAGAATACTGTTGTACAATATGTTGTATAGTATTATAATATTATATATAATATATTATATCATTACAGGGTTTATCTTAATTCAAGCATTAATGCACACGGTACTGTGTGCATACTACAGAATTTTTCTTACCTCAATTACTATAATTGGTACCGTTGATAAATATTGTCATTAATGTATCAAAGTCAATAACCGTACTGTCGGTTTCTATGAGAAAAGACACATACGCAATAACGATGCCAACCACCTAAGAACAGGTATGAGAATTGTTATCGTTCCATAATACTAATAATTAATATGTAACATAAATATTCAATAAGGTAATTCTAGTGTTCGTTTTAATTACCAATAGAATACATGAATGTCCAAGATAAAAAAAACCGTCAGCGGTGAAGGTCACGGGATTCTGCAGGAGCTGCAGTGTGAACAATCGCGTCTATAATATTCGTGAGTTTATTAAAAATTATTCTAGTAATCCAATGAAATAGCGTGAGTGACAAGACTACTAAGGAAAACATATATACCGTACTTAAAAAAATATATTAAAACTGACTGAAAATAATTAGTCACTAGGAATCAGATTTATGCATTGGAAATTTCTTATCAAATCTCATAGATATTTACTACTGAGAATCAATGAGATTTATATTGATTTCGATTTAAACAATTTATTGTTTATGGGGTAATCACCAATAAATTCATACTCGACACGATTACCTATTCATTTCGAATCATTTTGCAAATACCTCCGATTGCCTCAATTGAATAAGATTGTAAGTGAATCTGATGTCTGTCAATTTCTATTGATTATAATCAAATTTTTTTAAGAAGGATGCTCACCTCTAATTCCATCCTCTTATCTATCGCTTCAATGTTGAATTTCATGATGACGTATCTAATTTCATGAGCCTGCAGAGAAGTTTTTCCGTGATAATTAATAATCTCCATAGACACTAACGTGTGACAGTTTACCTCGTCGGACGTGCGCGCGCAGGTCAAATTGATGGCGAAAATTTTACCTCCTATAAACGCGACCCATATGACATTACAAATTGATTCTACTATAAATTCATCGCCGTTTATCAATCCTTTGACAATAATGTAGATTTTGTATAGAGTAAAAACGAGTGACGTGGATAAAACTATCAATAATAAAAGAATCTGAATTCCATAAGCATTGTTCACACGTCGTGATAATTTAACCAGATGAAGATGCAGTCGCCTGGTTCAATTGAAAAAGAATTTATTATGAGAAATTAAATACTTAAGATTCTGAGTAATAATTTAAAAAAAAAAGTAAGCTAGATAAGCTATTTAATTATTAATTATTTAATTACCTTGTCGTTTTGATCAAGCCACAATAATCCTGGGCACTCTCCTCGAGAGAATCATTCGAATTTTCCATTGACAGCTTTTCTTCTAGTGATGAGAACAGCTCGGTCATTTTTTCATTTAATGCTACGAATTCCCATTTGACGAAACTATCAAGAATTTTAAGTGAATGAAATTAAATGATTTTTCATTGGTTGACTTATAAGAGTTTCATATGCGTGTATTCCACTTACGTGACGTAATTTATAAACATAATATCGTTTATTGAAGTCATCAAGAAATAAAGTACTTCTATTATTATGTAAATCATATTTCTAATCAAAAGAGGATTTGGAGCTCGCGAAAAAATTGTAATCATTCGAAAAGTCAGAAGTAACAATGCAATAATGAGAATTGGGATTTGATTTTTTTGAAATCTCAAAGCTCAAGCGTCATTCTCATTGCATTTCAGTTGATTTATCTCCATTTTTATTTCCGCAAAACGACGTAAGCAGGAGTCGATTTTCTTGAAAAAAAAAGAAAAGTTCTCATTGTTTCATCCGTTTCACGTAAACTCCATTAGTAATCCAAGAAAATGCCAAACCTTTTGATTAGTCAAATGTAATATTGCAATACAGAACATCAATATGAAGGGCATAGAAAGGGCGATCGAAAGTAATTCGGAGTGCAAGTTGCCTTCAAATGCTTGTAGCAGGTTTAAATACATATCACGAAAGTACCAAATTATTAATGAACCATGGACCAATGAAGCGTACAGAATGCTTATATAAGGTCGTGGATGACCCAATGGACATTCAATGATTCCGAAACCAAAAATCCAGCCAGCAATTATCGTTGGTAAGAATACACGTTTAAAATTGATTTCAACTGATTCAATTGATTCACTTCTCGATCTTCTTCCAGATGGTGCAACATTTTGCACAGGATTTTCCATCTTCTTTAGCCTTCGTTATTTGACAGCTTATTTGTGCGTGTGTATATATGTACTTATTAAGATCTGATATTCGAGACTGGTGATCTACGATGCTCGTCTGCCGACTAAAGTCTCGGCAAGTATTTTTTATGGATTTTTCGTGTCTCTTCTTAGCAATTTGGTTTACGAGGATTTTTATGGTACTTGGAAATTACGTAACTACTGCAATTATAATTAGAAATGCACTTTACGTTCTCTAAAATAATTGGCGATCATAATCAGTATGTCACGAGAGTTATCCCTGTTTTTAATGACACGCTAGGCTGGTTTTACAAAGCCGTAAAAATCGATTATGCAATTTTGAATTTTATGGGAAGCAATAAGATTGACACGTTATATATTTTTGTTCTACTTTTGACTAACGATTTATTAATGCACACTTCATACAATACATAGTATACGTGACGACATTGATTATTTTAACTTCACACTTCACACGTTGACAGTTGTACGAGAACGATGAGATAACTAATCAACATCAGGATTATCTACAAACAATGACAGTAAAGATTAATTTGAATAAACTTGTTAACGTGATACTTTAAGAAAATCTTGATAAAATTTCATACGTTGAATATGATTCCACGATTCAGAACAAAGAAACCATGCGCCGTGAATTCTAAGGGATTTTGGAGAAGTTGCACAGAAAATCGTTCGATCTGCAGAATAAGAATATTTATCAGGTACGAATATTTTTAAATCCTAAGATTATTTTAATCAATAACCTAGTAGAAATTTCATTATAAATATCGAGAGCCCGTCAAAGTCCTAGCTAGGCTTGCATTGGCCCAGTGGGAACCTACATAGACAGACCCTGAACGTACGTTAAAAAATTTCTACTGGGTTAAGATATTTCTTATGATTTGCATGATATACGTGCCTCATTGTCAATCTCCATGCTTGATCCATTGTTAGTTAATTCGAAAATTCTGTATCCTGTTTTATTGGCCTGTTAAGAAAATCAAAAGAAAAATCAAATAAATGTTTATTATAAACGACCTTTAAGAGATGCCAATACCTACTTCCATCGCAGTCAGTCTGCAAGCATCAATCACAGTGAACACGACATATAGATCTACGCTCATCAACAGACAATGTTGAATTACGGTGTAGACGTGAGTCGTGGAATCAGATTGAACATTATAGAGAGTACAGTATATATTATACAAATGAAATGTCATTGTCCCAAACCTTAGCGTTATTGACAGAAGTGTGTATATACCATAAAAATCGTTAAAAGATCTCGATACCCGTGTAAGTCGTATATGCAGTTGCTTGATGCGCCTGAAAATGATTTCTTTATTTATACAAATCGCCAAGGCGTGATTGGGATAAACTTCCGAAAAGCGCATACCGCCGATGAATCTGAAATTTGGTATAATAACGTATTTTGACTTCCTAATCACGAATATCATAACGAAAATTGGCGCAAACGCCATTTTGAATATGAAAATCAAAGAAGAACGTCTTTTCGTTCGGTGTGCGTAATCGCGCATTCCCAACCGATTTAGACTATTTTAGCTTTCCCCAGAAAGGGTGTGTGTGTGTCCAGCGGAGATTAGGAACTGTGGGGCTGTGGGGTAGGAACAGTCGGCGGTATGCGTTTTTCGGAAGTACACCCCGTGATTGCACAGATATTAATATTATTAAAAATTAAGTTGTAGCGTTTTCAAGTTTTCAAAGTACAGTCAACTCACGAAATATCTTTGATAATTTCATAAACACTGATACTTGACGAACAATCAGTGAACGCAGTAAGTTCCTTGAGCCTTTTATTCATCTTTGCAAAGTTCAGTTGAATTATCCTGCGAAATTTTCTTTAGTATACCAGAAACAGACGCAAATCTTTTATGATTGATGTAGGTCACTACGTTTCCATAAGTATAATTACCGAATATAGTTGACGAACATTAAGTTAATATACAGAATGAGAAATGACTCGTAATTAATGCAAAAGATGTTACTGAAAGAGCTTAAACTTTCAGAGTCTGAAATATATTTTATGAAAAAATGGGCCATGTAATACACACACGTAATCCAGCTAATGATCTGTATCATTTTATTTCTCTTAATATCTTTAAAATCAGTATCACTGCTGATGGACGCGATGCATTCAGTGACTTCGTTCAGCTGGCGTAAACACTCCGATTCATCCTTTAAAAATAATCAATGTCAATTAGCAATTCGACTGCTCAGCAATAAATAGCATACCTTTTTAAATAACCATACTGATCCCAAGATGTAATACGAAATTCCAGTACCCACGATAAAGAGAAGCCTTATTAGTTCTTCAGACAAAGTTGAACCAGATATATTAATCTCTATGTGACCTATAACACTCTTTAAATTATAGGTAAGAATTCCCATGAGGAACATGAGATATAAAAAGCTGATAACTGGTCGTTGACGACCAATCGGATATTCGATGTCACTGAGGCCCAAAATCCATGCAAAGATCTGTACCGATCGACCATGGATCTCCAATTTGTTCATTGCGTATTTCTATAAGTTTTATGAAATTTCTGCAGTTAGAAAAATTAAATATAGTTTATCCACGTTATCGCCACTTGTCATACACACTTCAATTACAATGATTCCCAAGCACTTTAGACGTCTAACGAACAACTCAAGTCCTGACACTCTCTCTTGTGCTCCACTAACTTTTATGTCTCTTTTATGATTCACCCGAGGAATTTCCTGTGCGCAGGTCGGTAGGCACATACCTGATGCACGTTGCACCCTACACGGTGAAGAGAGACTCTCCGTTCGATAATCAAGAGAAACTTATTATTTTCACACATTCTCTAAGCAATAGCAATAGTAATAGCAATATGGATAAACAGATCTAGTAGTACAATCACGTGGCAGATAAGTACATAATTTTAAATGCTACATTACTTCATATAAGTCTTGGTACTTATGCCATTAGATATGATACAGTGTATGTTATATAGTGCTTTTATAATGATGTATTCAATGATTTCACCGATATCGCGCTGTCAGTAGGCCTGATGTCATCGACTTGTATAAAAATTACAAGATACGTCGTGACTGTACCAATCATCTGTAATACGTTAATCAGAGATTAATAAAGTTCTCAAAAATTGGTGTAACAATTAAAAACGATAGTTACCTTTCGTATCAACGTGTAATCCAAGTCGAAGGATCCATATGCCGAAAAGACGACAGGATGTTGAGTAATTTGAAGGAAAAAATCTTTTACCTAGAAATCGTCAGATATAATTATCTTTAGTTTAATCCTTATCATTATCTTGCAGATTGCGCAGCACGAGGGCATACCTCTTTCCGGATCATATGGTCACGCGATGTATCGCCCAGTCTGTAAATGACGTCGTCGGTCCTTCTTGCCTGAAAGGGAAATAGCAGATAAACGAGAAACAGGAAAAAGATACATTATAATAATAACAACGACAAAAAACAATCCAACCAACTACGAAGGTATCTGGAATAAGCTTTGACCCGGGAGTAAGCACGCAGGATGTCCGAGACATTTCAACTTTGATGCTTTTCAAATGGAGTTCAAAATAGTGCGACCTTTCCCGGGTATAATATTAATGACGTCTGATTCCTCTTTTCTTGCTTCTGCGCAGGGTCGAATGATCATCATGATTTTCATTGAATATCGCTCAAATTAACTTTACGTTGTGATATTTTAGCAGACATGTAATAAAGGATCCATGTTATCCCCAGAAAGGATAGCGATACTGATAACAGCATTGGAAAGCCATATATGTCAATGATTGCTTGTGAAATCCTTGTGAGCTCCAGATGAGTCTCCCTTAAATGAAGGAGACTTTTGGTAATGAATTTTAATAAGCAATCTTGTCACATAACCTAACTTAACCTTACTTGGCTGCTTTGATGACACGATGAATCTTTGATGACGTACGACGATCAAATACCTGTCCACGCTCAGCTTCCGTTACGCACAATTCCTTGTTTGCATAACCTTCTAGGATATCGTTAAGTTGCTGGAACTTCTTACCGATGTATCTAATAATATCGGAGAAAACCTTTAATATTATGTAATTAATGAAACACACTCAAAGACTCTTAGTGTAATTATCTATATGACTAACTTGATCGTCGTGTTGGTAACCATGTCGGAAATATAAATCATCAAAGTCAGATGATGTATTATTAAAGCTAGTGTGAATATCTGTGAAGAAGTATCGTTCTTGAGAAGCGCTATAATATTGATAGCATTGACACTCTCGACGACAATGAACATTTGAAGTATTCTATAGAGATGGCTGATATAGAGAGCGTGATAATTTTTAGCAACTCCAAATTTCTCCAAAGTGTCGTCGATTATCTGAATACGCGCAATGAACCTTTCTGGTGCCTGCGAAATGAGTATTTAATAAGTAGGTCGGACCTATCTTGTATTCAAATTTCACCGTTTACCTTTCTGTGGCGTATGCTGAGTATTCCTGAATATACACACAATACTGTGCTTATAAAATCCATGATGTGATTGCCCATTTTGCTCATGTTTAAGACATTTGACACCACGGAAATTTTCGTAGAGATATTCCAGTAGCTAATTATTCCGTAAAGGAGTAAATTAAAAAAGGCAATCACGTTACTTAAACCTATTCTTTGACGACCAATTGGATACTCAACTATTGCAGAACCATTTATCCAGCTGCAAGTGAGTAGTGGTAGACAAGCAGCGCGAAAAGTTTTTCGTTGAAATTTTGCCATTTTTATTATTGACACAGACACGTTTTTAAAATATCAATGCACGTAACGGCGCAGGGCTCTTCTTTATTATTATTAAATATATTGTGCGCCGTATGGAATTATCGGCATAGCTTTTTACGTGAATAATAAAAATTAATCAGGTGTTATTATTCAGTGTTTTATCTTAATTATTGTAGTAGGATTATCCAATACGTATACTTATAGCATTACACTGTCTTTATACACAGCAAATTTTTATTTATTTATTTGTTTATGCAACAAACATGCAAATTTAAAAAGAATTGTGATACTTTTGCATTTTTATGGCTGCTATTTCACGACCTGCCAAGAGCTTCTGAGTTCGTCAGGACGAACAGCCCCTATGCGATTTTTACAATTTATTTTTACACGTACAGACATCACGCCACGTACCTCAATATATTTTCTATTGTCATTAGATAAAGTGTACAGGTGATCTATATCATTGCGCCCTCTCGTACTCCATGCTGTCCTAATTTATAAAGTTCCCTGTTCCAGGTACATTATTACGCATAACGAAATATTGGCCATCTCTTTCTCTCACTCTCTCCTTTTCTTAATCCTTGTTCTTTTCTAGTCTTTTAGCATTTATCGTATCTCCAATTAAACTAATTGACCTAATATCGTACACTTTGTGCGCTGTCACTTTTTTAAAAGTTGACACGACTAATTATTTATAATTAATATAGATGATGGCATCAAAAAATACGTACGCATTCCAGTATACAGAATTATTCAGGGTTACACAAATGTACTGCCCGTAGGTGGTTCTACCATAGAAATTAAATGGGCAAGCTAACTTCAGCTTTTTGGTTGGGCCTGAATAACCCTGTATAGTGACAATGATAAATTGTAAATCGTTAAATATCGACCGGCATTTTTTATTCATCGTTTGTCTTCTTCGCGCACGTCATTGGTGAATCCCGCTTAAATCTCGTCCTGTGAAAACGTATCAATTATCTTCTTACCACCATTCTGTTGAATTTTCATAAATCGTTGATAGCTCGGTCGGCACATCCGGTTTCGATGGTATTTTACTCATTTGTATCAATATTACCAAATATGTCGTCACCGAACCAACGAACTGGAATTAAAAAGATTAGGTAATTAGACAATAATTAAAAAAATGATGATCATTCAGAATTTTTAAAATTAGGAACATCGCGATCCTTGTCTGTGACATTATGGTATTGATATATGGCACAAGAATATATATGGATATACATAGATGGCACAAGAATCACACGGATGATAAGTGTACAGCTGAATACAGCAAAGTCCGAGTAAAAGATCAATATCATAGGAATTGATATTATCATGCTCAAATTGTTTGTCAACCATGAATAATTAATTACATTGTCAAATTAATATTAGCATGTAATGAAGTTAAATAATTGATAACCGATCACTATAGATATAGAAATAAGGTACAGTAGGAATCCGCAATAAGCAGAAGCTCCCTACTCTTACGTGTTTGTCGCTGCCCACTTCCGCTTTGAGAAGCAAGTAGAGAGATACCCTAACCCAACCTTCTAGCACTAACGATAGCTCGCGGTAGCTATTGTTTCTTGCGCCTAGAGTGAGGGTATAATAGGTGGAGTTTAGAGAATCTGCAAGCAAACTGCGGTCCCGAGTGGTTGCTACTCTCAGTGCCTTACTACAGAAGCATATGGGTTATGAAGCAAAAAGAGAAAAAATACTTACAGACTGTACAAATGAATAATTCAAAGAGAAGAATCCGCATCCTGTGAATATCAAAGGATTCTGTACCATCTGAAGCGCGAATTGATGTACCTGTATTACACAAAAATATATGTACACTGTTAAGATCCTGGATTAATCAACGATCGATAATGATGAAACTGAGCTATCAGTGTCACATTCTCACCTCGTTCCGTAATTCATCATTTATTATGGGACTGTCAAGTTCATGAATAATCTCACCGATTTTCTTAGCCTACAAAGAAGCAAAATTGTATGTATACTAGTAACAACAGAGAATAGTCATGGTCGGTAAATAGTCAAGAAGGGTTACCTCAACGACGGCAATAGCGCAAGATCGATTTATGAAGAAGACCTTTCCTATATAGACGAGCGACCACAAACTCAAACTAACGACAGAATTCACCTTTGCGATTATTGAATCATGGTGGCTGACTAGTGTCACGTAGAGATTATAAAGTAATCCTGTAAACAATCCGAAGCATCCCGCCATCTCGACGGTAACTTGGACACTAAGTTGTTCGTTTAATTCCCGTGCGATGTCACATAGTTCTTGGTGAGCTTGCCTACGTTATAAGTGTATTTTGTTAATAGTTATTAATAATTGTTCTGCATTATTATAATATGATACAACAACGAGACCTATCTATCGTAAAAATAAAATTCCCAACTTACCGTATCGCCTGCACCGCAGAACTTATAAATTTTAAACGTATCAGATCGGAATTAATTATTTTTATTTTGGTGACTCTACTGTCTGTTTGACTATTAAATTTCCACGTATTCACTGGCTCCATCACTGTCTTTATCGTATCCTCCATAAAAATGTTCATCTTCTTCAATCTCGTGGATATAAGCCTGAATGGAAGAGGAACAGCGGTAACGGACTGAGACGTAGCATCTGCAACTGGTACTTATTTTAAAGTGATGTCAGAAAACTCACCCGTTATTCGTTATAAAAACGAGATCCAAAGCAAGACTAATCTGAAAGGGATAGTTGAAAAAGGAGGCTACGGCTACGGCCTCTAATAGATTCAGGTTGAAGAGAAATAAATAAGAAGTAACTGCATGCAGTATAATATCTATCATTATAAAGGCAATGGTTAGCTTTATATTCGTCATAAACTCCTTGCGGTACGTTCTGGAAATTCCCAAACTATGAAGTGTCTTGTCGATATTATCGATCTTCGTCTGAGACGTTCTCATAGCCTTAAAAAAAAATAAATGTACTCAGAAAAAGTATTAGTCTACGGGACAAGTGAAAAAAGTCTTTTTCAATATAATTTCGCATCTCGGTGCAGGGCCGCAAAAGGTTATATAGGCCTCCCTTCTGTGCCCGTCTTCAGATAGTCTGACAGTCTTTAGTTCGGGAGATAACGGAAACGGGAAAAATAAGGACAGTACGAGCATAAAATAAAAACAATTTCTTACATTGATTCTACTTATTATTCTCATCATTATATACGTACCGAATATTTATACAAACATATGACAACGCACACGGCAGCCATGACGATGTTGATGTAATTGACATAGACAGAAACTATTATTCCAATGCCGAGGGCTTTATAAATATAACCGTTACTAACTCCAAATAGAATGCTTGTAAAATATCCAGTCGTCGCAAAGGCAATGTACAAAGCAGTAAAATAACGCCTCTGTTTTCCATGTGGAAATTCAAAGACGCCCAGAGAAAATATCGAAGAGAACACTTGGACCCAACGTAGCGTCGACGATACGTTCTTAAGTTGAGAAACGTGCTCCTTAGATCCACGTTTGAACCACTGAGGCATTTTGAATATTTTGACAAAGAAATAGGAACTGCCAAAAATCACCCAATGTCGTTCATCGCATTACTTAACTGAAGGTACAGTCTATTTTACTTGAAGGGATTTAATGGCATTGTCTGTATTGACTACAATTTATTGATTAGTAGTACTAATTATCCGTACTAGCAGACCACTTAACTGTACCAATTTTTTAATGTTCCGTTTAACAAGCGTTGTGAGTTAAGATACGACAGTACTACAGGCAAGTTCACAGTCACACTGAAAAGTATTTGGAACACCTGACGAGCGCAATACTCGCTAATGGATTATCTCTCTTGGGAATCTATTGTAGATTATGAAGCTGTCGCTATTGTGTAAACGTATGAGTTCAACCCCCGTACCTTGTAACTATTAACCCTCCTACCCATATGTATTATCCCCACTTCAAAGTTTACACATCAGTTATAGGTATACCTGGAATCTGCTTAAAAGACTACTTTGTATTCGGGAATTTGGTGTTTGTGGAGAGTCGATACAATAACCTAAAAAATGTCCATTTCTGCAATAATAAGGAGGCTTAATGTTTTAAATGATGCAGCGTATCATGTGAGTAGTACCGTTACAGCAGATACTAATCCCGATAGTGCAATTTGTTAGTCCCGTTCGTTATTGAGCGGTGGAAGGAGTCCCTAGGGATTGTATTCGGTAAAGAAGGCAGGAGCATATGTGACTAAAGATTACCGATGCATGCGGAATATATGTAGAAACTGTTGGGGTGCAATATAAATGGTCATATATAGAATCAGTGGTAAGGTTTGACAACTGTCATCTGATTAGTTTGATTTTAAACATCGATTAAGAGTATCATTGAACTAAATAGAGAGGACAAGTTGCAAAGTTATTATTGAAAACTTTAAGAAGTGCATGGCAATGTACGACTAATGGAAATAAGTTTGTTAAAATTGTTACTAGACAAGCTTTCTCGGATTTTTATAGTTTCCTATATCTCCCGTGAATAGGAGAGAGAGAGAGAGAGAGAGAGAGAGAGAGAGAGAGAGAGAGTTATAAAAGTCACCGACAGCTGTGTATAAGACTTTCCAACAGTGGTCAAATCCTTGTCGTTCGCTACGCACGACAGGCATATAAAATAGACACAGAAAACAGGATAGAGAAATAGAACTAGAGTCCAGGAGAGTGCACTAGGGAATTAATCGACAAGGGCGTCGATCCGTGAAGTTGGCCTTCCTGTAATCCCATTCTTTTTCACTTAGCTCGAATCGAATGATCCCGAGGGAGCATAAGGGCCAGCGTTCTCATCCCTTCACAATGAATTTCACTGAAGTGCCGTAACTTGGAATGAATTATCCTTTAAAGACTTGGCAAGGATGATCGGAATGGTTCGCAAGGTATTCAATGACTGTGACATAACGTCAATATGTCCATAGAAATAAAAGACAGTGTATTACGATATATGTATAGATGTATACGATAATGAGTTTATTCGCAGAACAGATACACAGTACACGGGGCACTGGAGCCCCTTATCACAAATAGGCAGGTTATGTACAAGGCTGAACGATTCGTTAGAGCTAATATTTTTAGGTTAACCCAATTTTCGAGAAACGCATTCTTGTGAGATGGAGGGGGAGGGGGGAGAGAAATAATAAGGAAGAGAGAATGAATATTTTTCATTGATATCAACTACGCTTCCAGAACGTGATTGAGGTAGGCGATGTAACAGATGGCCAGACGTAGAATTTCGATTTTGGAAAGCTTCTTGTCCGGCGGCAGGGTCGGTAAGAGTTTTCGCAATTCAGCGAACGCTGAATTGAATGCCTCGACTCTTACTCTTTCACTGTTGACAAGAGTACAAGATCATTGTTTTTATTCTGATTGTTCGCGGACGTGGCTTCAACCTCGAGCCCACGCCCCTCAGTGTTAAATTAATAAACTCGACCAAGTACGGTACAAATCTTTAAAGTTCCTTCTCACCGCGTTGCGTGTGCCGTTCGATACTTTTGCGTGGCGCGACGCCTGCGACGTCTTTCCTCTCGCGATAAAGTCCCGGAGCCAGGACCGACGCCATTAACAATATTATGTCCGCCATTTCCCATCGCGTTCTCTCTATCTCTGTGCAAAAGTGAGAGAGAGTTAATCATTAGACTTCACGGTCTCGTTAACATTTCTTAATGATTTGCATTATTTTTTTTTTCTTTTTGAAGGAATTTCTACCCATCCATTCTTTACTTGTTTTAGTTTTATGCAAATCTTCAATTTATCAACGAACCTTCGTCGCGGTTGAAAACTCAAGTTACAGCAAGCAGCAAGTGGAAGAAGGGCTTCCCTCTCCATTATCCGACAAAAGACTGTAAGTACAAAACAGCGATAAACAAGCCCGTACCAACAATTGCTTTAGCGCTCTTAACAAAAATCTTGTTTCGCCCTTCCACTATAGAAATCTTGTTATTCCAGTATTTATTGTTTCAGTGTGAATTCCCGAAGGTGATTTTCTGTGGGTCGACTAAGAATTTTGGAAAACAACAATTCTCCACGGACGAAAGGGGTTCCTGCTGTAATTAGATAAGTCTAGCAAATATTTTGTCTACGTGTTTAGACATTTCCTGAAGGGAAGGTGCGAGGAATGTGAGAATATTATTTTTCTTTCTTTTCTTTCCTTGCCTATATATGTCTACACCTTTATACGTACATGATATAAACCATTTGAATTTTAGTGGCCACACGATTTCTCGAAGGTATCGTTACTCTTCCTCGTCGTTGCAGTTTTCAAGAAGACGTGACAATTTCACCCGGATGTCAATTATTAAGGCGAACTCGCCGCAGTCTGCATAACGCATGACGCGACGGCTCGTCAAATATTTACGAGAACGACGGTATTGAAGCGACGAATCGCCCTCGTTCGACCAGATTTTTATGGTAAAACAACCGTTTGTATGGACGAAGGCGGTTTCGACTTCCTTTAAATATTTTAGGAAATCGAAAAGGAACGAAATCAAAGAGGATACTCGATTCGCAAAGATTCGTCTTGTTCTATGTAAATTGACTCTTTTCACAATGGGACACAGCATCTTGCGATGTTCGATTGAGATTGTTATCTGACATAGAAATTTCAAGGGCCCATGTCCTTTGTATTAAATTTTATTTTTCAAACTACTTCATAACATTATCTGAATAATAAGCTTTCGTGCTGCTGTTGAAAATTCATTATTTAATAATGCCAAGAAGTTTTTCAATGGTTGATATATGATAACTTCAAGCGTCAATTCTAAGGATCATTCTTATTCATTCATTATGTAATTTATTTCTTATCTTGGCTTACCGATATTATAAGCAAAATTCCAGAACGCTCTTCAAAAAGGATCCTTGTTTCCTTTTTCCACTTGAAATCACTAAATACACGGGGCATAGGTAATGCATTGATTTTGGCTGCGTTCACAACATCTACGTTTTCCTCGCGACACAAAATTTTCAAATTGCATAACGATTTTTTTCTGTATCTTCAAAAGCACATTGCACCGTGCTATCGCATTAACCTACACAGCGAATCACAAAACGTCTTTTTGCGAAAAAAAATATTAAAAACAAAGAGACCAATAAATGACAAAAGGAAACACTGCAGGCACCAAGGGATGTTTTCAAAAATACCCGGATCTCATAATACCTTTTTTTTTTACAGGGAGCAAAAGAAAAGGATTTTCCGCACGATTTCCGACCGGTTTTTCACCAACGCAAAACTCTATCTGATAAGATCTAAGCGCGAGGGTGCAGAGCGACTAGATTGACGCTATCGAGATGGGCGGAGTTTCATCCCCTGTTTAGTTCACGCCCATCGATCCCAGCATCCCCTCAATGCTCCAATCAGAATACGGGATTTCGTTACCCACTAACACATACACAATAACGTGACTGTGTGAATAGTCGTCTGCACCTAAAGATCGTCGCCATTACGTCGGGACAGTTCATGCGCCTTTGGATATTGATGTTGCACAAAAAGGCCACCCTTATTTGGAACTCCTTTGTCTCTGTCCACCATGCTAATCATTTTTATTCATATTTTAAAATACTCACCCTCTCAGGAACGCTGAGCATCGATCGACTACTCACACAGTATTTAATATCCGTATAATCGCCGTTATCGACAATTTGGAAATGATGAATTTTTCATAAATTTCAAAAAATACCCCATCTTGACTGTATACAGTGTATATGCTGTAAATGAGAAAATATTCGTCGTACAGCTATTTGTGTCTATTTATAAATTTTGAATTTTAGCGCCAGCGGCCATTTTGAGACAAATGAATTATGAACGAACTGCTGGATTTGTTTTTACTGCGTTTCCATTTCGTCGTTATCACACGGCGATTGCTCTTTGAGTATAGGCTGGCTTATTTGAAGGAACAAAATTTCCCTAGCATCTAAGCACGTGAGTGTTTAATAAAGAAATTCCAACAATCCAAATAATAATAAATTACGGTTGATATTCCAGGACCAAATCGACTGGGAGGTGGCGTTTATTATCCCGTCGCAGATGTATCTCGCGGAACACCTGATCCACCCGAGAAATCCATACTGGAGCCTTCAGCATCCCCCATTGAAGACTCTCATGACATTGGCAATAATAAAAAATTTTTCAACGTTAACGAAGTTTCCCGTCAAAGTCATTCAAGACAAAAATTCCATTTTGAATTTAATTTTGAAGAGCGTCATGTGAAAATGAAAAAAAAATACTACCCTTCTATCGTTATATTGTATATTTTTCTCGCTATGCGAAATCTGTGAAAGGGTGTTCTGAAAATATCATACGTCTACATACGCGTGGCTAGTACACTAGCGTGTTATCTAAGTGATAATGTGGCAGATGAATTATGCACGTGTCCTAGGAGAATAAACGGAAGTAATACAAGGACAAATTGAAATTGGTATGTAGTGTAAGTGCGAAGGCGTGAACAGGATGAACACGTGGCAGCACGTGTCATTGTCATTGAGAAAATACTAAAGTCTAGTGCGGTAAGATGTTACCACATATGAATATTTATATATATGTATATAAATAATATATCATTTGGCATGTGGGCTGGCAGCAAATAATATGAACATGTCATGGGATAGTTCACGCATCGTTAGGGGATGATGAAGCTGCGATACGCGTGGGATTAAAATTGTCAAATTGCTATGGGACTACTAAAGGGTGGTGACTTTTTAATGATTACAATTGAAAGTGATAATTTACAGAATCCAATCGTGGAAACGGCCATTGAAATACTGCAACTTCCTTGATTTTTATATTATTTCATCGACTATTACTTTATTTATGCTTTCACGCAGTTCTTCCTGTGACTTGTATCATTTTGTTTATTGAAAGAAAATTTAAATTAATTTTTTATTCAGATAATTTTTGTATTGCTAATCATGACTGTTGCACTTTGGAATAATACTGATCGCATTCGGAGCATTTGGTACATAGGGGAATAGAATATTTTATAAAAATTGTATATAACTGTAATGATTGAATCGATTACTTCTTATCGTGCAGAATTTAAGCAGGATTAACTAATCATGTGCAAAATTTGAGAAGAATATTCGCGTAATTTTCCCAAATTTTGCACACGCTTGGTTTTAGGATTCAAGTAGGATTAATCAATCTTAGGCAACATTTTAGAGGAATTCGTGAACATTCGCAGGAAAGAAAACGTCGTAGTCATTGTCCCTTGGCTATATGTTGTTTAGAAATTTATTTCTTATTATCATTCGTAGGTACATGGTATAAGTTCTCTCTCATCCAGGTAGGTGGCAGCACTGACCGATCAAAATTTTAATTGTAGCTGCTACATTGACTGTGCGCAGAGAAGTCATATTTACATCAGGGACTATAGTCCGTAATTGTAATCGAAATGGTAACCATTAACAGAAATTTCGTAAATGTTATACCTAACACCGTAACGGAAACCTGAAATTGCTAAAGTGGAAAATCGAAACTCTTAACCGGAACGTATTATATTCATAATACCAGAGATGAATAGGGAGATTGCCAGCAGAGACGAGTAGGGAGATGGACAACGCTAAGGTTTTAGGCGATACCAAAATCATGGCGCTAAATCGTAACGGCGAGTCTGGAAGTAGGATTATGTGATCATCGCCTTCGTCGACAATGCGAATCCCGTCGTAGCCGAGCTAAACGTGAACACGAACGTGTCCCAATGCAACGTGAACACCGCTGGTCCCAAAGCAACCCTTTGAACGAGACCGGGAACTATAGAACTTCTCAAGAACTATTGAAAAAGCCTATTGTTGAACCATTTTTAAGATATTTTTAAAAAAGTGTGGTGCCAACTGGACACCTGTGTTGCACCTCAATTTTTGAAAAATGTTTCATCAATAGACTTTCTCAATAGTTCTTGAGAAGTATGCTAAATTAAAATCTCGCAGAATATACAGAGTAGATAAAAATTTAATTGAAGTTGTACAATATCGAAAATAAATTACGTTCAAATGGAAATATTAATAAATTAGGTGTTTAGAACATTAAAATAATTATTTAAATCAATAAAGTAAAATATTAACACTTCGAAATTAGAAATTCTGGCCAAGCATATTTAGAAGTACTGGAAGTTGCCCAAAATTGCGTACGCGCAAATTCTTCACGCAGGGATCAGCGAGTGGGAGCGGCGAGATTGAGGGAAACGCTCGATGCAGTGCCCGGACTCGGAGCGCTCATTCCTCCTCGAGCCGGTCTCCTATATTGGTCTTTTGGAAGCACCCGTCTTATCCTTTTCCAACCTTCTTCTTTTTCTATATTTATTTCTTCTTTATTCCCTTATTTCTTTATCTTTCATTCTTCACTTTCTTATTTATCTCTTTCCTCATTTCTTCTTCAATTTTATAACTCTATTCCTTACTTTTCTTCTTCTTCACTTCTTTATATCTAACTTCATTTCTTTCTTCTCGTTTCGCTCTGCTCCCTCTCACATTCCATTGTGTTTGTCTTACTTTTCCTATTTCCTTGGTCGGGTCGAGCATATTCACTAGAGTAGTCATATAAAATGGTAGTGACCCTGTTAGAGAAGCTACACGTATAGACCGTGGTGTCGGGGGTTGCCCTTCCGCCTCATCCGCTGAGCGTGCTCAGTGGGACGAACCCAAGTTGTGGCCGCAACAGGACCTTATGGGTCTCCCGACGGGGGCCTTGAGCCCCCTTAGGTTATCTACGGCCATGGTCTTTCGTATAGTGAATCTAATAAGAGTGTTTAGCTCTCGCGTATTTAGTATAATTTGTTCGCTTTGCTAAAAACGCTCCAACGTGTCGTTGACCCTTCAGCACTCGTGTGGGTAGAGACCACGGTCTTGCAACAAGACCAATTTTTAGTGGTGGGGATAGTCCCTCTTACTGTCCAAATTTTTTAGTTCTTCGGCGCGTCGCCACTAGTACAGGGGTCCCCTCGCCGTTTACCCTCGCGTAACACAAGCTATGACACACAAGCTATCATCCATCTCTGTCGCATACCCCTGTACAGGTGGCGCACCTTGTGTTGTAAATCGGAGTTAGTGAATTTGGACACTAAGCGGGAATACTTCCACCACGTTCGTTTCCAGACCTGAATGTAAGACCGTGGTAGAGACGATCCTTTGTGCCGTTGGGGAGGTCGTGCGGGGTGGTCCGTTGGCTCTGGATAAAATCCTATCTGTGCTTGTACTCTTGGGTCGGCTTCACTTGGGTTAGGTGCGGGTGCTATTGAGCACCTGCTAGTCTAAAGTCACCGTCTGTCGGAGACATCTTGCGCGGGGATCAATGGCTAACGGGGTCCGCCGCCGGCAGCGGACGCGGTTCCTTACGTCTAACCCACTGAGCTTGCTCGGTGCGAAGGGACAGAGGTTGTAGCGTTGAATATCGTCCCTCGGAACGTTCTGACGGTGCTAGCAAGGGCGCCGCCGGGTGCTACGCCCGTGGCCTTTCGTTGCGGTGAATCCTTGACTAGGGGGTAGAACTTTCACGTTTAACTTACCTTCCTCTTTTGCGTTTTCCTTGTCGCTCGACCCGACTTCCCTCCTTTCCTCAAGTTTTCCCTCCTAGTCTGTGCGCGACAACCGCAGGACTCGGGGAATTTCCTCAATCAAAAAAAAAATACGGTCCCCTGTGGAGCCTCGGAGGGGTCGTAGCTCCCTTGTGGAGAGGCAGGAGCCCATGGAAATGGGCGAGGACGGGCCCATTTCGCTCCCTTATACTTCCTACTTTTTCTACTTTTTCGAGTATTCTCTTTTCTCGCTCCTCTAGAATAATCTGGTCGTCATCCATACGTTTTACGCATCTTCTTCTCTCCTTGTTCCCTCAGTCTTTACCATCTCTCACTTCGCAATATGTTCTTTATTTTATTAAAACATCTTTAAACAACGAAATGTTCGCCCCCCATCGTTGATATACTATATGGAACAATACTACACGTCATATTCACATATTCCACTTTCTTAACGTCTCTACACATATCAGATATGCTTATTACAAAGTACAATTACAATCGAATTGCCAAAGTGTCAAAGCATAAAGGAGAAAGAGGAAGAGAAGGAGAAGGATGCTGTTTGGACGGAGGAGAGTAAGAGAGAGACAGAACGCATTCGTACACTGGGATATCGGCAGAGGGCAAAAGAATATCAACGTGTATAAGTGTTACAAGATAATTTATTCGACAAATCCAATAATGATACACTATATCAAGTACAGATGAACATATACAAGGTGTTCGTTATGAAACGCACTGTAGTAACACCGTTGCATTCCTTAACAAATTCTAAGGAATACGTGTATTTTCATTTTTTATTTCATATATCAAAATTTCGAGATAGTTAAGGTTGAAGTTGCAGTAATGCGACCAATCAGAGCGCGTTTAAACGAAGCGTAGATGACGTCGCGAGCCAGCCCGCAAGGCCTGCTTACACTAGGCCAATGACACTAAGAGAGTCCTAGTGTCCCTGTTTATCTGCATGTAATTGAGTAAGATACAATCGCTCGCTGTGACGTCAATGAATTTCTGAAGGTACCCTTTATTCCTTATAATGTCTATTCCTTTAATCTGACACGATAGCTGTACCAACGTATTACGTTTTGAGTGATCCTGAAAAGGACCGATTTTCATATACGCATGACCGCGTTTGAATCTCGACATGCTAATCTGCAACAATTACATACGCAGTGGAGATGTACTAGAGACTATACTCTTTCGAAGGGGACTGATTGGAAAGAGATACAAACGATACTTTTTTGAAAAACTTGAAGAACAGACGTCTAGACACTGTACCTGCTACGCACTTATCTTGAATTTATAAGAAAACTGTGAAGGTACAAACGATGAAACGCAGTGGAGATGTATTTACCGGAGCTGGTACAGCTGATCCGTGAAGGCCAAGAAGTGCATCCAAAAGACACTGAGTTGGGCACTTCACTAGGACACAGCACTGCACTTCCAGAACACTCACAGAAAATCCATAAAATTTCCTGGATATCGCGAGAGCAACGCGAGAAGTACACGAGCGATAACTTTCTGTACCGTTTCCGTACCGAAACACAGCTAGAAAAATTATCAATAGGCAGCTCGGGAGCGCGAGGCAGTTCGTGACACCTCAGTCGGTGCCCCGAGACAGACTGCTTTGACAATAGTCAAATTCGAGTATTAATCATTCTGATCATCTGAGTGGTCGAGATCCTTATAGCCGATAATTCTTCCTTTCTCTCGTGCCGTCCCTTTGAATCAAATCGAGAGCGTTCCTTAGCGAATCGGTACGTAACATTTGGAGTTCCTCCACGGCGGCTTCCCCAGGACATCGGACGACAGCTGGGTACCGCATCTTTAACTCGGGTAGGAGGTTCCTCTCCTTATCGTAACGAAACCTTATCTCCGCCCGCTCTACAGCCCTTTGCCCATCTCCAGCGGGGCGCCGGTATCTCACCCGAACTTCTGCCGGTCCGTAGAGACGTCTCCGTCGGGTACTGTCCTCTACCGGGCAACTCACTACGTCGAGACTATATTTCCCCACGGCAGATACGAGCACCTCGACGTCAAATAAACAATGACGAAATCTTACGAGAGCGTTGGCATATCTATACGAATCAACCCGAGACAATAGCTTCTGAGCAGGATGGTGACACGAAGGGAACCAGATAGCGAGAACGTTATCTGTATCGGTAGCCGGAGTCGCCTTGTGAAAGTGAATCGAAAAATCACGTCACAAAGCTTACCCATGTACCAGCGTATAAGTACATCTAGAATAATTGTATGTATTGTGCTAAGTATTTTATATAAATGTTAAGTAATAAAGTGAATTTATGGTAACAATAATAATTGATAAGGAGAAGACACATAAGGGTAGGGATAAACGCAGGAGACTGCTATGAGCTCAATTAACGTCCCAGTGGCCCTGATGGTGTTTTAGTTAATAAAAATCGACCACGACTGCCACCTCAATTTTTGGAAAGTACGTATTTTAACGGTATTACGTAACAGAACTATCGTTAAAACCTATCAGGAACTATAGAACTCCTCTAGAACTCTTGAAAAAGCTTATTGTTGAAACATTGTTGAAAAATTGAGATGCTACACGGGTGTCAGCTCCAGCAGCGCACTTAGTTTTTTCAAAATATAAAATAAGGGTTGCAACCCCTTGGGTCATAAACACACCTCATATCTTCGAATTCTTATGACAAATATTTTCCACTTGGTTTTATTAAAAAATATCAATTAGAATCTGACATATGATAAAAAACAATTTTCGGGGGTAAAATTTAGGGGTGGTTTTTATCCCTTTGAAAAATCCTGAAACACCCCAACTGAAATATTTGATGGAGTTAACGGAAACGCTTTTCTTTATTTTTTTGAGCCCATACCCCGGTTTTTATGCAGAAAAAAAGCATAAAAAATATAGTTGTTTCAAAATATAAAGTGGATGTCAGCAAAAATCACCGATTTTGAGAAATTAATTTCACCCCTTAAATATGCAAGTGGGCAGCTTATTTTTTGTGAGGGTTTATACTTTGATGTGAACTACAAAACGTAATTTTTTCGACCCAGGTTGTGGGAGTACAGGAAGGTGACCTTCCTTGTAAGTGCTGTAGCAATCTCCCGCACTGAATAGGATGGATTGTGATCGACGAAGTCTTTTACAATACTTGAATCAATCTCGGTCGGGCGACCAGAGCGAGGTGCATCACTAATGTCGAAATTTCCAGAACGGAATTTCGCAAACCACTTTTGGCATACGCGTTCTGTTAAGGCATCTTTCCCATATACGCTGCATATCTTTTTATGAGCTGCCGCAGCTCGTTTACCTTTTTTGAAGTAATAAAGCAAAATATGACGATAATGCAACTTATTTACTTCCATTTTTACAGCTACGTAGAGCACAGAGAACTGACGTTAGCCAAACGTACACTCACAGAAAACTTATGTGGAACCTAGACTTTCAGCTGCACAATAGAATTGCACAATACCGCCAAGAACAACAAGAGCGACTAGGAGTGAATCACCACCGTAACATAAACCCAACAAACTTATTTGCCAACCCAATATAAAATTGAAGTTAAATCAAAATCTTGCAAAATATGCGGAGTAGATAAACATTGAATTGAAATTATAATATGTCGAAAATAAATTACGCTCAAATTGAAATATTAATAAATTAAGTATTTGGAATATTAAAATAATTTATTAAATCGATAAAGTTGGATATTAACGCTTGGAAATCAGAAATTCTGGACAAGAATATTTAGAAGTACTCGAAGTTGCCGAAAATTGCGTGCGCGCAAATTCGTCGCGCAGGACTCTGCGAGTGGGAGCAGCCGGGAGTGGAGGGTAACGCAGTGGGCGAACTCGCAGCGCTCAATTTTCCTCAAGCTGGTCTCCTGTACTGGTCTCTTGGAAGCAACCCTCTTATTCATTTCCAACCTTCTCTTTTTCTATATTCATTTCTTCTTTACTTCCTTATTTCTCTATCTTTCATTCTTTACTTTCTTATTGATCTCTCTACTTATTTCTTCTCTACTTTTATACCTCTATTCCTAACTTTTATACTTCTTGACTTCATTATTTCTATCTTCCTTTCTATCTTCTCATTTTACTCTTCTTCCTCTTCCATTGTACTTGTCTTACTTATCCTATTCCTTTGGTCGGCTCGAGCATATTCATTCAAGTAGTCATCAAAATGTAGTCAATCTGTCGTAGTAGGTACGCTTATAGACCATGGTGTCAGGAGTTGCCCTTCCGCCTCATTCGCTGAATCTCCCGACGGGGGCCTTGAGGCCCCTTAAGGTACGCTACGGTCATGGTCTTTCATATAGTGAATCTAATCAAAGTGTTTACCTTCCGCGTCTTTAATGTAATTTGTTCGCTTTGCTAAAAACGTTCCAACATGTCATTAACACTTCAGCGCACGTGTGGGTAAAATCGATCTTATGTGCCGGTGGAGAGGTCGTACGGGGTAGTCCGTTAGCTTTGGGTAAAGTCCTGCCTGTGTTTGTGCTTTTGGGTCAGCTTAACATGGGATAGATGCGGATGCTATTCAGCACCTGCTAGTCTAAAGTCACCATCTGTCGGCGACATTTTGCGCGGGGGTTCAATAGCTGATGGGGTGCACCACCGACGGTGGACCCGGTCTCTTGCGTTTAACCCACTGAGCTTGCTCGATGGGAAGTGGCGGAGGTTATAGCGTCAAATATCGTTCCTCGGAACGTCCTGGCGATGTTTGCAAAGACGCCGTCGGGTGCTACGTCCGTGGTCTTTCGTTGCGGTGAATCTTTCCTTTGACTCTTCCCCCCTAGTCATGTGCGCGATAGTCACAGAACTCGGGGATTTTCCTCAATCAAAAAAAAAAACGTGCTCCACTGTTGGACCTCGGAGGGGTCATAGCTCCCTTGTAGAGAGGTAGGACGTTACGGAAATGGACGAGGAGGGGCGTATTTCGTTGACTTTTCCTTTATTTTTCATTCTGTTTTCTTTTACTACCATTCCTTCATTCCTTATTCTTCCTCCTTTGTCACCAAATACTTACTTTTTCTAGCTAATTGACTCTACAATATAGACTCGAAGTACACCTTTTAAAACCAAACATCGAACTATTCTCTTGGATCCCAAAAGATACAGTCCTCTATACCTCTCATGCACGCATCAGCACTCATACATTATCCTTTGTGGAGGTCCAACGTGTGGGGTCTCGCTGTCCTAACCCAAGATCAAGGGCCTTGTTCTTACGCACAAAGAGTCATTTATAATTTAACTCCTACTCGGTTAAGGTAACAATAAACAAATGACCCATGTCCACATTCTTTGTGGCCAATATGTTTGTGCACGTGTACGGGGTAGAAAGATTTCTCTAAAATGTCTAAAATATATCTTATTTATCCGTTAATGACAGACTAAGAATTTGAAAGCAATTAATTCTGATTTGGGGAGATCGTGATCCCATTTTAATTCCTCATTTGAACTTGCCGCTCAAATCCTAGTTAGATTATTTGTAACTAGGCTGCGACATCACACAAGCTCGAGTTAGACGAGGTGTTTACTTAAATTATATCTATATATATGTATAGTGATTTTTTTTTAACACACAGGCACACACAGGTGTTCATTCACTGTAGGCGATGTATACCGGCTGAGAATCTTATGACGAAAAGAAGTAGTCGCCAATCTGCAGTACATCCATACATTTTTGAGGTAAATCGGTATGGAAAATTTACAAGAATATCAATTAACGCGACCAGAACTTCTGTCAGAAGAGACACTACGAGAAGTGTTGAAGAACGTAAGTGATATTATAGGTTATATTTATGTTTTCTGGAGTAGATTTTGAAGACATTAAATTCTTATACTTTTATGCTTTTAGAAATGTATACAAGTTCCGGACTTCAAAGCGTTAAGCAAACCTGAACTTATTGAAATATTTAAGAGAGTGGCATTACCGTTACCTCAACGACAGTGTAGTGAATCCAGGTATTTTGGCCGAAAGATATTGAGTCTTCGAATAAAGAGGAGTATTGCAACTGCAACTTATGAGGACAATGCAGCTTTGAAGTAAATTAATTATAGATAACATTAAAGCTCAACACAAATTCATGTTACTTAGTAACAGTAATATTGTATTTACAGGGCAATGATGCCATGCAACAGTACCAATGTCGACTGTAGTAATGCAGCTGAAACATCTAAAACAAACCGGTTAAAGCCAATTATCAAAGAGGCAAATCCTACCTCCAAGAAAATTTGTTTATCAAATTCAACAAAGAGCAAGGAATCTCTGCACAATAATATAAAACGAAAAAATGAAGACAATGACAATGTAAGTGAACTTGTAATTTAGCTTCAGCTATCATGATTCTTAATCATCAAATATGCAATACTACTTTTAATAACGCACGAACAAAGGACGCTCAATTTTTGCAGGTTACATTGTTGACTGACACAAAAAAGCGGCAGAAGATTACATGGCCTTAATATTTTTTTTTTATAAAAGCACTATTGCAGTAGCAATAGAGTGCATTGTATATCATGCTCAAAAGTTTGGCAATAGCTCGATGCTTAGGTAACTTAATGTCCTTGCTGTACTGTATCACTAACAACAATTATGGTTAGTTCAATGCGTAAATAGATACAGTAACTGACATCAATGAACTAAAAAGTCAAAGTAATGATTATCAACATTAGTATCCAGCAGAATTCCATTTTTCTACTTAATATGGACAGCAATAAAGTGAACTTGAATGACAGATTAATTTACAATGATTTTTAAAGTGCAAGCAAATATTCTAACATCAATCACCTGTAATTAACGATTCCATTTACATTTGCAAATACATACTCTTTATAGATTAATATAAATTATACATACCACAAGATTATTGGTTCCCCACTCTTCTGTGAGATCCTTGAATGATTAAACCTCTGTTTTCTATTGAATTATAATGATCCTCATTAATATCACGTATAGGTAATTCATTATCAATAATAAACTGTCATACATTCCATATTGTTTTTAATCATATAGGATTTCTAAACAATACATTCATATATTTTGATCACTCTGTCCATACCAGAACAATCTGATATCATTACAAATCGCATAAATTTATCTCTACTCTCAACAAAATACACGTTTGTCCCTCCGATCGAGTAACTATACCTGTCACTCAATCCACATTCCTCAAGGCATATGGGATTTTGTCTCTAAGATCTATTCACATTAACCGTGAGTTTACTCGACTCGTACGAAAGTATTAAGCTCCAAAAAGGGATACAAGGCATTCAAACTGAATTCCCAAGGCATCCATAATATCTCTGTTAGCTGAAACACTATTTGACTTTCCAGATTTCAGCAAACAAGGCAATGATAATAACTCACATCCGACAATTCAAAATAGCCAAGTTGAAAGTGCCCTCGACAATTGATTAACTATGGCTCGAATATATGCCAATTATCAAAGCCAAAGATAACCAAAGAAATTCATACTCTTGCCCACGCCAATGACTAATGGGCGTAGCTGCTGGCACAGGTAGGGGAAAATTAGTAGCAGTAAGCGATTGGTCATCCAAACATAGTGCAGACAATAAGGAACGCCCACTTAATAATAATAATGACATAATATTACATCATAGTTAATATGACGTAACGAGTCTTCTCCAAACAGTTCTTGCGAATTGATCGTACGGTGGATATAATCTCTTTAGATAATGTTATATACATATTTATAACTTGTATGTACAGCTCGTACTGCATCTCACGACAGATGAATGGTTTTAAAAACATGTGGTCAATCTGCACCACCCCGTTTCTGTTTCCTCTATCACTTTCTCGGTTACTATTTTTTTCGTTACTTGCAAAATGCCACAATGTAACGTACGACAAGTCCTTTCCCTCTGTCCGTCACTTGTTCGCAATACAGTCAAATTTGAACTTGCGAATTTGTCGCACAAGGCCACACCCACTTAGCTACCATATTCTTACGTCATGATTTTACTTATCGCCAATTCAACAGCTGCTCAAGCATTGCTTCAATTATAAAATAGCGGAAGTCGTTTTTCGCTCAACATTTCGAACTCAAGTTCAGTAGAGAGAGGGAGGATACTTTGCAAGTGCCATATCTCAATTCTAAACAACGACACAGGTAACGTACAAAGATTACGGATAGACATTTCCCAAAGAATTTCAATTGTAAAATCTGCCGTATCGACATATCAAATTCCCTGATCGTCAGATTACAATTTACAATAGAAATAAATGACAAAAGGAAATCTACTAACTACATGGATCACATGAAAATGTATTTTCTTCAACAGCAGAGCGAAAACGCTCGTTTTCGCCCTCGTTGCACAATATACTATTTTGCAACGCTGTACGGAAAATATACAGTTTGTGCACCAAAAAACAAGCACAAAATGGTCCATTCTTGATAAGTGACGGGAATGTTATGATTCCCGCACACTCTGAACTCATCAAGAATCGGCCATTTCGTTCTTCTTTTTGGTGCATATCCTGCGAACTTTCCGTACGTTGTTGCAAAAAATAGTATATGATACGCGTGCGGGTTGGTGATTCCTACTCGTGTGACGTTTGCCTCGATTCTGAAACGTGTCACACTCGTAGGAATCACCAACTTTCCGCACTTGTATTATAATGTACTAATATAGACACTCTTTTTCCTTTTCTCCCTTTGTCGTACAAATGATACGTAAACATTCTACAGTGACCTGACATTCAATTTTTTTCTGTAAATGCGACAGCAGCGCACTTATCGGATATACGCGAAATCGTTAATCGGATTTAAAAAAAAGCGTGACATGAGCGAAAAAGCACGTGCTGCTTTTGCAAGCAGTTTCAGAACTTTTGCAGAGACACCTTCTCGTCTGCGGAGCATGCCAGTAGCCATAAATGAGAAATACAATAGAACATTTTCCAAAGAGCGACTAAAGGAGAATTCGTGTGAATGGGGTTTAACCTCTTCGTAATCAGCCAAACGGATGCACTACCCTAAGGAGAGTGATCGAGACTGATGGAAAGATGTATGAGGAGGATCGTCATCGCACGATTTTGACTGAATGACATAAACAACATCACAACACACTGTACGACGTTTCTAGAATCAATTAAGATGTACGCGAGTATTAATTAACGTCACCATCATCATTTATCTCGAGTATAAATATCTTCAGCCGAGACATATTGGCAGTGACCGAGAAGAAGAGCAAGAGGATGTGTATTACCAAAGAAAAAGAAAAGGACATTCTATCCTGACCAGAGATAATGTACCTTTGGCAGATGCTGTCAACGGAACAGTTAAGCTACGCCAAACGCTTGGAACTTTACATTCTGAGTATTAAGATCTAGCGTACATACAATAATACGTGTGTGTTTGATACTCTACTATGTATATATATATATATGTACGCATCAGTAGTCGCTTTCAGCCCTTAGTCCGCCCGTATGACGTCACTTGGCGTCACCTGGTGACTCATGCACATAGACCGACACATGGAACAACATTTATATGAGAATGTGCAAGAAAAGTTGTTATATTTCGACCTTCAAAGTGTCGACGGACTACGGGTTAAAATGATATTATAGCTCGTACCACGTGGCCATAACCTAGACGACTCCATTATTTTCTTCTTCTTCATTGTACTCCCTAGCTAACCTAAGGAAAGTAAAAAGCGCAGCAAATTTGCCAGGTATAAAAATCGCTTTCTTGAAAAACGCAAAAGAGCCAAAAAACAATAACTGGTGTTGGCTCCAAAAGCCAACGACGTATAAAGAAGCAACAACTTAATAATCCAATGATCAAAAGGGTCGAACAGAAAAACAGTTAAATAAATAAGCAAACGCTCGAAGCATACGTGAATAGTAGCAAAATAGAAAAAGCACTACCGGACGCGTTACGAGGCGCAAACATTGGGTCGCTCGACGGGAAGAAATACGGAAGCATTTCGGAGTTACAAAAGGAATCATTAATTCTTTCTGTTCTCTCGTGACCATATCAATACGTTTATGACCTCGGTACGATAAATTAGTACGGGACTATCGCACGTGGCGATCAAAGTCAGTCGTGAGTCTTCTTCGTCGGCCATTCGTCCTCAGTCGTGGTACTCAACTGTTTGACTAGGTACTCGGAGACCATGGGATGACAAAGTCACATTGGATAAACTATATATGTATATATATCACACGCATACACAGGAACACTCATACACGCACACAGCAGCTAACACAAATGATATTTTCATATGGATAAACACGCATACACACACACCACTTCACGTTGTCCTATTTTTCTTCTTCTTCCTGTTGACGTTATGTCGGCTGCCGCTTAGTTTCTGTTATTTCACCAATTTTTCTCTTCTTGTTCTTTAAGATATTCACGGCCTTCCGTTATTGACTGCAGAGGATGATGAATGTGTGCCCAAATTGTGACCCCTGGGTTAGACAGGCGTCTCGTGGTCAGTCTCTTCGATCCTTCCCAATCGCCAGGCATTGGGATCTCCTGCTGCTGTAAAATTAATTGACAGGGATTAAAGCGTGATTATACCATCGAACGGATAAGCTGCTGACCTTTACGGCAAAAGCTTGAGAAAAGACAACAAACAGTCGAGATCCGGGAATACATGTGGTAAGCAGGCATTTCTTTATATTATATTCGCCACCAATTTTCTTTATCAGTTTCCCAATCAGAGCTAGCGCAACCGGATCTAGTATCTGTCGAGCCATGTCGTACCGGTCCTATGATTATTGTTATACGAATTTAGGCAGTGCAAACTAATTATGGATAACTGCGTAGACACTGATCTTCAAAGTAACGTCAAGTTCCTTCATTCTTGTTCGTTACAGTTTACCAGCTGATTCGATCACTTGTATGTCACGTGTGCGTGTACTCAATTTTATTTTTCATGTGCAGTAGTGACTGGAATCGCACTTTGTCCGACTGTGTAGACTAAGCATACAAAGGTATGAATTTGGTCGACCGAATCCTGCCTAGGAGGAATTAACAAAAACAAAAGATAAAGAGAACAACAGTACTATGTTTCCAGCAGAGTCGAGTTGAGAGACGAAATACGCCTGTTGCATATACATATATATATATATTAGTGAACTATAGGTATACATTCAATGTATTTCAACTATCGTTCGACGTTGGTGGAATCATAACCAATGTAACCAAAAAGTACGTATGTGAGAAGATCCCTGTCGTCAGTGACATCTAGCGCGAGGAACTTGAAGTATTTGAGGGAGAAAGCGTTAATTCACACTGAATGCTTTCTCGAGTCGTGCAAGTGACAATGACTGCGCTCATGCCAATATGACCATACATTATAAGATAGAGGATAGTTATAGAAAGTCAACCTTTGTATTTAAAACTTACCACAGTAATAGTATTTAATCCTAGGCAAACCTAGGCAAAGAAGAGACGAACGTCAGTACCTAACCAAATTAAAACTTTTGCGTGACTACTAGTGAAGCTTGCTTTTTAATTTTCTGTCTTCATTTCATCTACCTAAGAATCTAATCCTGAACGTGGTAATTGTAAGTTGTTTTTTTCTTCCCTGCAGCATATGCCCGACTCGAATATGACATTAGACCGCATGTAGTACAAGAAAGAAATATAACAGGTATAGCTGGCGTCATGGTTGACTTTATAGTGCATTGTTGCCTTCATGGAGACTACATAAGGAGCACGAATTCAAATGGGAAAATTGACAGAACCTGCTACTAATATCGTTCACACTACGTTTTCTTTTTGTACCACTAGCGCCGCTAGTTTCCCTTTTGTACTGACCTGAATATAGCATAATAAATACATGTGAAGTAAGCAGGCAAATATTTAAAAGTAATTGCCGTTGCACATTTTTATTATTTGTTTATTTAAGTTAAAGTAGGTTAAATTATTTATTTTATAATTTTCGAAGTAATCAAATATGATTTTCAATTTAAACACCCGCCTTATACCCCTCCACTATTTCGGTGCATACAGAACACTAGTGCCCTCTTATTTTGGGAAGCTGTATGTATACATGCATGGAGTTCGTGCTCCTTATGTAGTCGTCATGGTTGCCTTAATCAAGTATGAGTCCAGCATATCTTGTTACACTATTATACTACGAGCAGAGATACTGGTACTTCTAATAAGAAAGACTATAAGTACTCACAAATATATATAAGCTATACAATGACTTTGTACACTTTGCATAAAAACAAGTACAAGAGGATGTCTTTTGATAAATCAAAATACTGGAGATCCTTTATCCTGCATTGATTGTTAAAACAAAGTTCAATCGGTGATGAGTTGAAATAATATATTGCTGCTTACACCACTGCATCAGACTTCACCTCTAGCAGCTGATTAGGTATAAATAATATTCTAGACTACGGCTAGCCTCGTCCATGTCACTGGCATAGGCACAGTAAGACAATTTTAATCTTGCCAACAATCAAATCCTAATCATTTCTTCTACGTTGGCAAAAGAGGTTTCAAAATTATATTCCGCGCAAAGAAAGTATTATGTACCACAATGGCTTCCTTTAGAATCATAGGCTTTATGTTACAATAGCGTCTGGTGTCACGGCGGGTAGTAAATAATGTCTACATTCGCAGGTGACAGTACTAGCAGAATTATACGCGAATTGGACGAAAATAAAAAATTACTATAACTTGCACAGCAATATGTTATTTCTACTAAACACGAACAATGATCGTTTTAAATTTGTCAAGTGCACAACGAACTGACCTCACATTTATTAAATTGACAGAACTTCGTCAATTTTATAAGTACCTTAATTTCTTAGGCATTAAACATTCAAGTAGGTACAAGTGACCGATAATTTTCAGGCAGTTACATGGAAACTAGTAATGACAACAACAGCTTTTTCTGCACTTCTAACAGGAGAGTCTCAATGTTCGTTAACCCGGGAATGGTCGCACGATTTTGTTCTTTATTTGAGTTGGAGTTTCTCAGACACGTCACGCGGCTAATCTCGGGTTAATCTTGCCAAAGACAAAACTACCTGAATAACAAAAGGTGAAGAAGAATGGCTGATAGTCATCCTCGCAAGCGTAAAAAGTCTAAGCCAACTTTAGGTTGGTATTTAAGTGAAAGAGCATAGCGAAGTAAATAATCATGTATGCATAGATAATACTTTCTTCTACGTGGCAAGAAAGGACGGTGATCATGGATCTTTCCAAGAGAATGTACAAAACACGATGCGTAAAAGATAAATAGAATAGAATTAAATAGTGTATAAATCAAGAGTACAAGAGTATGAGAATGAAAAAGGATAAAGTAAATAAATAAATATAATAGGAACGGAAAGAACTCACCTGGGTATAACGACCGGGAACAAAATAAGAAGTGTAGGCAAGTTGGTTGGTGGAATGTGAGTGACACGCGTGGCGCAAACAGAATCTGGATCTCATGTGGGAAAAGGGTACAGTAGACCCGGATTGCACTAAAGTGCAACAGAGCTCGTACACGAGGATTCTACTTGGGAGGATAGAACGTTGTTACGCACAGGGTAGAGCGGGAGTACGTAAGGCGCGTGAAGGTGGTTAAGGTGATGCAGGGCGTTGTTCAGCACCTCAGGGCTCGTGTACAGCAGCGGCACTCTCTCTTCTACCCAAACCAAAACCAAAATAGGTGCAAAATTATAATAATGACAATGTGACTTATTTCTCGCGTTTATGCTACATATGTATGTGTATGTATATACATATATGCATATGAAAAAAAAATATGTATATATATACACATATACGCACACGAATATTATCCTATTATTAATTCATGAAGAGCTTGAACTATTGAGCCTATGTAGCAGGCTAATACTCTACATGATCCAATGAGCGTGCACCCTGAGAGCTTTAGATTAAGCATACCGGAGAGAAGTCAATTTCCATGTGTCAAAATAGATTTGTTGAAATTATTCATTGACTCTAAACCTTCTCTCATACATAACAATATACAAACGGATTAATTCAGAGGTCTACGTGTGTCAGGATGTATCTGGTTCACTTTGAAAAGTAATTTACATTGAGGACATTAGGCAGATAGGGTCTTCGATGGTACTATACAGATTAAGAATGTCATTGTTCGATGAGCAGTAGTGTAAAAAATTATCTTATAGTATCTGTCGAAAACTCTCTGCCAAATTCTCTATTTACTAATTGCAAGGTAAAGATAAGGGAGAATAAAGTACCTTGAAGCTGTCGATTAATCAGAGCTGTTATACCCTGACTGTCACCAGTCTTTTTCACAACCAGGAGCTTAGTCTCGGAGTCACTCTCAATACCTGTCATTCCTCCTAGGCCAACCACCTGGCCATTTTGTTGCTGATGACTGCTCGCTGCCATAGTCTCACTGACCTGCTCCATACAATGCACGCTTACATAAACTTTTGCATTAGCATAACAAGCTAAGTTCAAAATGATACCTTTGTGGTGGCGCTGAATGATGAGCGCGCACGACGTATATTTTCATTATTTTATGTTTTTGGAATCTTTACTTCAATCTTCTAACAAATTTTCATATTAAGTAAATAGATACCTGCATGAGTTTCTTCACGACGTCCCGGCCAAGGATGTGATCAAAGACTGCTTGTAAAAACTGATCCGTAATTATGCTCAGTTTTAATTTATCTCGGTGCCAGAGTAATATTCGCGACTCCTCCATTGCCGTTATTGATACCTAGAAAATAAGTCATTTCAATTTATTAAACAATATGAAACATTGCAATATTCTTTATTACGAAATTCCAACTAAAATACCTGGAAGTATTCATCTGTAGAAACTCCGAACCATTCAGGCGAATCCAGGAACTGATGCGGGAAGACAATGTGAAGTGCTCTTCCATTTTGTGATACTACCAATCTATAATTGTATGATCAATACATATTTTAATTGTTTCAATTTAGAGATGCGCAATAAATTAATATAATGCTGAAACATGGTATATTTCATTTTTGTATGCTGCTCTCCAAAAGAAATACATACTGTACAACAATTTTCATCCAATCCAATAACTTTGTGTCTACTATGCAATGACAAAATTTCAGTATACAATATTAAGTATTGATTTTGATGGAAGTATATCGATTACCAAAAAGGTTAATCTGACATTTACCTTGTCCACCACACAACAATCTCTTAAAGAAAGATCACCACTGTCATAGTCAGGCCATGACATCAGATTCCAAAATTAGTTAATGAAAAAAGTCCAAGGGAAATGAAAATTTATTTTAAATTCCAAAGACCTTTTGATTAAGGTATATTGGCTATCGGTTCCCAGTAATGAAAATGCAGTGCAGTCAGAATTCAAGCTGACGATCACTTTGTACGTATATATATTGAATCGAATATTTTATCGAATTCACGAATAAAATGCCCTCTATAACAATTCCCCCTTGGAGGATCTCTAACAGTAGGATAAAGTGTTTGGATATTCCATCGATTGCCGATATTCATCCTAGACACTTCTTACGTCCATGGGGAGTAAAGTGAGAAAAACGATGAGACGTCAAGAACAAACGACCAGACGTTTATACTTACTTGCCGGAGAGCACCAGAGACAGAGAGTCGACTTTGGTAACCTTCTCCTGGGCATAGACTTCCTGATACTTCAGCTGCCGAATGACCTTCATACAATTCAAGATTTTTTTGAACTGATGCCTGGATACCCTCAAGGGCTGAAACACAGCTACGTAGACCTGAAACAAAGCAAACAACTATAAGAAATCAACAATAAAAAAAACTTAACTAACAACGTGATCAATTCCAATTCATTATCACAATTCTAACTTATATAAGTAACGACTTTATTATACAGTACGCTTCCTAATTGGAACTTGATTCAAGTTATTCAGGTCACCCTTTTTATCGAGCCAACTAACTAGAGCAAATAATACCAGTTTCTGTGGTCGTTGTTTCAAATCATAATCAAGCTCAGAAGACTCTTTTACACTGTAAGTCCTAACAAGGTACTTTTTTGACTATACAACCAACCAGCACTGCAACGACGAACTTATTGCTGGGTTGCTCGATAAACTGCAACTCGTTTACAACATTGCTGTACAAACTGTTTCATACAAATTTATAAATATTAAAACTAAGTACCAATATACAATGCTAGACGAAAAACCCTATGAAAGAATATCCCAGAAAGTTGGGTCTACCTGAAATTAGTCGTGCAATATAAATCAAATAAACCGTTCACCTTCATTTGATACGACATTAGATCCCGACTGATGCAAGAAACAAGTGAAACAGTGATAAGGACAGCAGGGCGTGCACGATAAAGAGGAGTCCCGTAAGTCGTGAAGGTATTCTAAGAAACGTGTCGAGACGTTCTTAGCATCGTTTACGTCTGCATCCACTGCACCATCCTTCTTTTTATCGTCATCGAACGTGTGCCCACTTTGCATAATTGCTAATTGCAATTGCACAAATTGCCAAGCAAGCATCGCCCTCGACGCTGTAGCTAAGAACGGCGAATATAAGGTCCTCACGATTAGGCCATCGCACTTAGGTCCAGGAGACATTTTTTTAACATCTCCCTTTTCTACCTTTAGAAATCTCTCAAGGTTTTAATCGCCACTCCAGAAACCCACTGTACGGAATGGATCGTCTAGACGGGTTTAAAGCCTCATGTGCTTCGAAACAATACCTGTAGTGTGCACACGCACATACATATATACACATATTACTTTCGTATACGCTTTCCATAGGTGCACGGAGTATACAAACAAGAGTCTGACTGTACCAGAAAGTCATGAAGAAAAACCACTTATAGCTAAAACAGCACCGCGTCTGCAGCGTTCGCCTCCAACGATCTCCCACTTCGTATACACAGGCTTTTTCCTCCGTGTAACAAAAGGCAAAAAAAGAAGAAGCGATGCCCGTGAAACACACGATAGCTATAGTAAGTCAAGACAGCTTCCACTAACCACGAACTGATACCCTCGGAAGTAAATCGATGCGGTGTTGTAATCGCAGTTAAGGGACTCAGTGGCGCGTGTCAAATACACTTTGTTATTTACCGACAAGCTTATCGCGTTTCTTCTCAATTTTTGTTTGTACCGCCATTTACTCAACGCATCGATAACTACATTAGCTTAGCCATTTAACGTAATCAATTAGTATCAATCAGGCTGATACGTTCATTATGACAATACACCGTAGAAACGAATCTTCAGAGTTTCGTCAAAATGTAAAATAACATTTTCCACAAAGTTTTTTAATACCCCACCCACGTCGTCATACATGCGTTACACGACGCGAGTGCTTCGCAGGATGTTTAACTACCCGCGCTTCGGGATGCACCTGTTGCACTGGATTCTGGAGATTCGGTAATTTCAACAGTACCCCGATGCATTTGGAGATGATCGAGACTTTTCTGTAGAATTATTGTTCAAATCACATGAATCCACATGAATCTACACGCTCAACTTATTCTCATACGTTACAAAGCCCGTTATAAAATGATATAAAATTATTAAAGAAATGTCCAGATTTAATCAAGGTTCCCATGATAACTGGAACAAAATTCAAAACGTGCTAGATAGACACGTATAGGTATACAGGGTGAACCAAGAATCGTGATCAGTAGAGATTACTTTGTTATTAGCAGTCCGATCGAAAATGTTTTTATCAGCTTTTGCATGGTTTCAAGAGAGCTTTAACGTGATAGTGAAAAATTACTGGTCAACTCTTTTTTTTAAATGTTTTTTCAAGGTTACCTTGAATTTTTTGCAACTGAACATATAATTTTTTTACGCCTGTCTGTTAGAGGATTTCAAGACGAATCCGGCACATGTAAGGACATGACATTTTTTTCATCTGGTTCGAAAGAAAATTAAAAAACTTTGTATCACAAGGAGAATCACAGCTACGCCGTTATACGCATCCATTCAGTCTTCAGTCTTCAGTCTTCAGTCGCCATCAGTGTAGAGGAGAGGCCATAAAGAATGCAAAACAATCTTTTAATCACAGCTACGCCGTTATAAGTCTTCAGTCTTCAGTCTTCAGTCGCCATCAGTGTAGAGGAGAGGCCATAAAGAATGCAAAACAATCTTTT